CATTTCCTTTCCTTTACAATAGAAATATATTTCCTCATCCAGGGGACTGTAAACTGTCTTGCAAAGGAATTAAGTTGAACATCTGTTCAACCCTGGTGAAAGTGAGACAACCCACTTGACTTCAGTGGAGTTGCCCTCTTAAGAAAGTTGCATTATATGTTACATGAATCAACAGTTCATATATTGATTCATTAATACTGAAATTTCAAACACTTAACAGAATCATACTTCCTTTTTATAATTTTATCCCATATATTTTCTGGTTAAAAAAAGCTTTGTATTAAACGTTTCTTACACTTTCCTAATTTTTTGTAGCTGATTTAGTTTTCGAGCAAAAGAAAAAACGTGTAGGTCTTGTTTTTGTTCTCATCCTCATACAAAGTGGCACAATCTGGGAGCCAAATCATTCCAGTAGCTCTACTGATTTCAGATACATTTTAAATTCCTAAATTCTAGACTGTGACTTCCAGCACTACCCCAGGAGTAGCCCTGGAAGACATTTTGATTCATACTTGGCCCTCTGAGGTACAATTCTTCCTCTAGTTTCTCCTTATTCTAGTGGGTGGTCTACCCAGCAGTAGAGTGGTAAATAATGTAGCTGAAGTCGGCCTACCTTAAGCCGAGCTTGGTGCCGTCTTCACAGTGTGAGATTGGCAGGAGCAATGTTCCTGTTGGTTTCTCTTGCTCCTTGCAACTATGGGGAGTACTGGTGCTGACGGGAGAGGTCCTCAGTGTTCAATTTAGCAAGTCTTAACAAGCCCCACTAAATCAACTGTCAGAAGACATCCAGTGTGTAAGTATAGACATGGCCCAAGCTCTGTAGTGCTCTGTAGGTCTCCAATGCCAGCTAGCAGGACAAATCAACAGAAGAATCAGGTAAACGTCCTGTTACTTTGTACACTGTCAATCTTGACCAAGGAAATCCATTTTAAATGGTTGCCTTCTTAGGGAGACACATTTCACAAGATACATGAAAATAAAGTATTTTACTTATGTAAAGATGGGCAATAGTTAAATTTTAAATCTAACTGTTCCCCCATCAAAATTTATGAAATTGAATAGTCCAATCTGTACCATTACATTGACTGCCTTGTAAATGGAGAACGATAATGTCAATTTAGGCTAGAATAAAGGGTATGTATTTTAAGATACCACTCAGTAAATAATTCTAAAACTATACTACCATGCTCCTATGCTCTTTGACTCCTCTGCTCTTCACAATTTACCATTTCCTCACATTTTTTATGGAGCTTTCAAGGGTTTTTCTTAATTATGTCAACCCATCTTTTCTTTTTACTTCTTTGCAACCACCATTCACTTTCCCGTCAAACTTCTATCCATCATTTTTTCCAGGTATCCATTGTCTGGTGCAAGTTCAAATGTGCAAATTTTTCCCCAAAGCAAACACAAGAATATTTAACATTTATAATAGAACAGATAGTATTCTTCACAGTGTATCAGCACAGTGATCTTAGTAAAAAATCTGCGTTATCCACATTGTGTTTTGAAGTAGGGATATAAAATCCCAGTTAATCAGTTAACCAGTTAAATGTTTTGTTTATTAGTTAACAGCTTAAATGGTCCCAGGCAGGGAGAGGGTGCTGAAGTGGACTGGAGCACCCCTTACCGCAAGTGGGTGCTGCTCCAGCTGGACTGGAGTGCCGTTGTCCGCCATATGCTGCTCTGAACAGGCTGGGCTCCCCACTGATGAGGGCTGCTATGGCCAGGCTGGAACACCCCTGCCTGTGGAGCACAGCTCCTGCTGGGCCAGGCCCGCTACGGCTAGGGCTACTCCAACTGGGTTGAAACATTCCTCCCTCCTACAGCAGGTCCCTCCGGTGTGGAGCAGCACCCTGCCTGCATCAGGATGGGAGGAGGCTGCCCCAGCTCCGCCAGTTAACTGGTTAATCAATTAACCAATCACATCCCTACTTTGAAGGATAATGTTATATTTCTTATAAGCGAAAACTGCAGTATCTCATACAGAATAGAGTTGTAAACGTAAAGTTTCTAGAACTGTTTGATGTCATGCCCTCACCGCACTTAAGTGATGAAACCCTTTGTCCAGCTTGACAGAAAAGGGAAGTGCCAAAGGTAGCTTGGCCACCAGACTAGAAGAGAAGGGACTGTTTTCACCTTTAATCATAGCATTCTAGAACTGGAAGAAATCTCAAGAGGTCACTGAGTCCAGTTCCCTGCCATCTAAATCATCCCTGAGAGATGTCTATCCAGTCTGCTCTTAAATATCTCCGGTGGTGGAGATTCCATAACCTCCCTAGGCAATTTATTCCAGTATTTAACCACCCTGACAGTTAGGACGTTTTTCCTAATATCCAGTCTAAACATACCTTGCTGCAATTTAAGCCCATTGCTTCTTGTCCTATCCTCAGAAGCCAAGGAGAACAATTGTTCTCCCTCTTCCTTGCAACACCGTTTTAGATGCTTGAAAACTGCTACCATGTTCCCCTTCAGTCTTCTCTTTTCTAAACTAAACAAGCCTATTTCTTTCAGTCTTCTCTCATGTTTTCTAGACCATTAATCATTTTTGTTGCTCTTCTCTGCATCTTCTCCAATTTCTCCACATCTTCCTTGAAATGTCATGCCCAGAACTGGACACAATACTCCAACTGGGGCCTAATCAGCACAGAGTAGAGTGGAAGAATGACTTCTCATGTCTTGCTCACAGCACTCCTGTTAATGTATCCTGGAATCACGTTCACTTTTTTTTCAACAGTGTCACATTGTTGACTCATGTTCAAATTGTGTTCCTCTATGACCCCTAGATCTCGATCTGCAGTACTCCTTCCTCGACAACCACTTCCCATTCTGTATGTGTAAAACTGATTGTTCCTTCCTAAGTGGAGCAATTTGCACTTGTTTTTATTAAACTTCATCCTGTTTAGCTCAAACCATTTCTCTAGTTTCTCCAGATCATTTTGAATTTTGACCCTATCCTCCAAAGGACTTGCAACCCCTTCCAACTTGGTATCATCTGCAAACTTAATAAGCGTACTATCTATGCCATCATTTAAATCATTGATGAAGATATTGAACAGAACCAGTCCCAAAACAGACCTCTGTGGAATTCCACCCTTCAAGCATGACTGTAAACAGTTTCTAACTTATCTCTCAGAATGGTTATTCAGCCAGTTATGCACTCACCTTTTAGTAGCCCTATCTGGGTTGTATTTCCCTAGTTTATTGATAAGAAGGTCATGTGAGACTGGGTCAAATGCCTTACCAAAGTCTAGGGAAACTATGTCCACTTCTTCTACCTTATCCCCAAGGCTTGATATCCTATCAAAGAAAACAATCAAATTGGTTTGACATAATTTGTTCTTTACAAATCCATGTTGGGTGCTATCTGTCATGTTATTATTTTCCAGATGTTTGCAGATGGATTCGGTAATTACTTGCTCCATTATCTTACCTGGCACAGAAGTTAAATTTACTGGTCTGTAGTTTCCTCGATTTTTCTTATTTCCCTTTTTATAGATAGGCACTATATTTTCCCTTTTCCAATCTTCTGGAATCTCTCCTGACTTTCATGATTTTTCAGACATGATGGCTAAAGGCTCAGATACCTCCTCAGTTCCTTGAGTAGTCTAGGATGCATTTCATCAGGCCCTGATGACTTGCAGACATCTAACTTTTCTAAGTAATTTTTAACTTTTTCTTTTTTTATTTTATCTTCTAAACCTATCCCATTTCTACTAAGGTTTCTTTCTCCCCAGAATAGTATTTTGCTTCATGGAAAAGTCATCTGAAGTTAGTTGGTGGGAGGAATTACCCCCTCCATCACAGGTAACAGGAAGAGCTGGGTAATTATACCTCTAGGGCCGGGACAACAAAATCTGTCTTTTGTCCAGCTGTACCATAGAAAATACAGGAGGCACTGGCTGTGGTTTTAGGAAGGCCACAACTTCATCCTTAAATATCTGGGACTAACTGGTAAATAAAAGGTTACAGAACAAGTTATTTTGTGATCATTCCCATACATTCATGGATCTGTCTGCCTTTCCAATTCAGATCCCAGTCAATCTTCTGCTGTAAATGTTTCTCCACTCCTTTAAAGAATGACACCTTTAAATCACTTGCTACTCCATTTTATCTGAACACCATACCCATTCCTTGGGAGGTACCTACACTAGATATCCACCACAAGCAGGTGCCAACATGTAGCATGGCTGAATTGCTGAGTGAAAGGTTTGTGATTACAGCTCTGGGCTTGGAGTCCTAGGTCATTTTTTTAACCACTGAAGCATACCTCTTTTTTTATTCTATTGGGCTATCATTTCTATGCCTGCTGCCTTAGGAAAGTTATCTTTCATACACATATGATTTACAATAATAGACCAACACAATCCTTGTACCAGTCTGCCAGTGTTTTGCCCATTAACATAGTTCTTTCTGAATGTTCTTCACTGTCATGAAAACAAAACTCACTCAGAAGTTGATGGGAATGCTGCCACACAACTAATAGTTAAGTTGTAGAACTCCTTCCCTTTATGCACTTTCCTCATTTCCAGATATTGTTCTTTCCATTATTTCCTTTCCCTCTTTCTGGTCCAAATGAAAGCAGAAAATCAAATGCATTTCAACCCCTGATCTTATTAATGTATCATGGGCAGAAAATGTTATTCCCTTTGATACTTTAGCTTGGAATTTTAGAATCTCAGCATAAAATAAGTTCTGAGCTGCTAGATTAATGCTATGTTTTTTCCAGATCTGACTACACTTCCAGTCAACTGCATAGTTATGCTTTGCTGAAAGAGAAAGGACGGGATATGCTAATCAATACTGCAAAATGCATAAGCACACAGTCAAACCTTCTTAAGATTTTAGGAAGGACAAAGCAATGGATAACAAGACCACGCTCAGCCTGTGTATATTTAACACAAAATCAGCATCCTTTGGATCTTTGACAGTCATTATCACTGAAATCTTTACACTTTCCGATTTAGTCTTTTACAAAAAATGTTCTCTTCTTCTGTTTTTAGCACAAGAAGAATGGGCCACAACCCGTTCCAGCCTAAAGGCACCACCTCCAAGGTCAGCCCGAGGGGGTTACAGGGAACACCCCTATGGTAGATATTGAAGGTCCTCCTCATCTGTGACCTCAACTCAAAGACAATTAATAGCCTGTGGTCTCCACATAAACAGCAACAAGACAAGTAATAGTCCATTTCTTTTCTATCCTAGGGATTACTGCTCATGATTACCCTGTGTACTACTTGTATTTCCTATAACATTGGAGTGACATTGGCATTAGTATTATTTTATAACACGGACTTAAAAAAAACTTTGGCAAGCATTGTCTATAAACCATTTGAAGGATGGTGTTCTCTTGGTTTGTTATTCATTGTTGTGTGTAATTTTAAAAAAGAAAGCATGATGCTGTTACAGATCTTGAGTCTCTCTACATACTAGCTAAGGCTGAGTTTTTGTTTAGGGTTGCTAGAAGACTGTAATATGTTTTCTTTCTTTTGAACCAGACAGTAATCAAGATGTAGATAAGATGTTTTAACCTGTCTTTTTTAATATATGTTAGTTAGATTAAAATGTTTGATATTAAGTTTGTAAATTTAATTTTAAATGCTGTTTTAATGGGGTTGAAAACAAGCAGCTACTGTATGTATGTAGCTAACTGAATTTGTTCAGTGTTTTAACCTGTATTTGTTAAAAAAATCACATAAAGTTCCATGTGTAAGCTTCTCTAAATAGGAAACCATAATTTTGTCAAATATGTTTACCATAATTTGTCAATAAAGCTGAAACCTTTTGTAACAAACTAAATTTGGAATTACTTGTTTTCTAGCTTTAAATGCCTGCTTTATTTCTTTTTCAAGAGATGCCTAAAATGTTTTATATATAAAAATTACAAAAATGAACCCAAGCTTGTTTTAAGAATTTTGTGTAAGACTTTAAAAGTTGTATTAATAACTTATGGTTGTTAAATAATTTAAAAGTTAACAAACTAAACTGTTACATGAATCATGGTTAGTAAACACTAATGTATAACATGTTAATGGAAAAAATTGCTTTAGAACAATAAATGGATTTTAAACTATCCTCTAAGCTTGATCTTGCTAAACACAAACTCTGATTGACTTGTTTGTATTAGCATGTCTCTCGTGAGAATGTAATGGAGTTTAAAGAGGTAAGATTACCACTTACCACTGTTAGACTGTCTAAATGCTAGTTCTTCAACCTTTGAGTTTCCCCGCACATTTAAATATCCCATTCAACATGTAAGCATTGCATAGATTCACATACTTGTTTTCACTCAGAGGAGTGCGTTGACTGCATTTGCATAGTATATAACAATTTGTCTTGACAAACAAATCATCAGTGTCACTGCCCAGTTATTGCTATTCAACTTCAAAAACTTTATTTGTAATTTTCAGTGCTAAATATCACCGCCCTTGAAGGCAGTTTAGAGGGCTGATATTTCTTTTGAGACTATCAGACTTGATGGCTGATGATTATTAAGGAAATATGTCGCAGGACTCAAAGGATGACTAAACGTTAAACAGGTAACACTAATAGTAACTCTGTAATTTTGAGTATGCAACAGTAATGTTAAATATTCTCAGTTATTAAGTTACTGATAGTTAAAAAAGTAAACCTACCAAACCATAACAAATAGGTATATAGGCTCTTAAAACAACTAATTAACATTAACTAGTGGCAACAAAATTATTTTACAATATATAACCCTCAAGGTAATAAACAGAACTAAAATTAACAATAATAGTAATGCAACTCTTGCTAACAACAAATATATAACCTAAATTTTGATGAAAAAAAACCTGAAGACTTGATGCTAGGGATGGCAAAACTGTTAATCTTTTCAATACAGTTTTTTTGTTTACGGTGGCTTTTTGTCAATGTGATTGGTTTACTTTTTTGATGAGAACAAAGACAGGCCTATTGCTGTTCAGTTTGTGAACAAAATCTCTTGCAGCCGGAGTTGCATGCTAAGTTTTTTGACTGGTTCGTGAGCATATGTTCTGTCGTTTGAATCTAAAATGTTAAAATGGATTCAGTAGGTTACCTGTTGATTATACTGAGTTTGTTCTGTCTCACTATTTCAGGGACTCACAGGCAATGAACAGCTAAGCAACAGATGTACTGAGAAGTGTTCAGGTAAGCTGTGCCATACCTGATTGTTTTTAATTGAGTCTTTTTTACTCAGTGGAAATAATTGTAAATGTTTCTTCTGCATTTCTTTTTATTAATATTTTAAAGTAGAGGCTTAACAAAAATAATTCTTTCCAACTAGATTCACTTAAATAAAAGGCTGGTGATGATATAATTTCAAGGAAGGAATTTGTTGTTGTTTTGTGTGATACTTTCCTGTATGATGAGAGAATTATTTGATTGCTAAAAAAATGAATAGCAGCATATGGGATCTCTGCAAAGGGCGTTTCCATAACCTAGTGTTTTTAAAATAAACATGATACACTTTCTGATTTATTCCCTTAAGGACAGGAGCTCGTCTTTATGAAAAACAATGTGTACATTTTGGAAGTAAACAAGTCATCTGATCTACTCTGCCTTGTGAAAACACGGTACTGGCTTACAAATTGTTTTTCAAAATATTCACTTAACTTCTATGATAAAATAGAAAGTGTGCGGAAAGATATAAAGTTTTTTTCTGTTAGTTCTTTTACTTAGGAAGTATTCAAGTGTACTTTATAACAGCTGATATTAGTAAATAGCATTCAAGTTTTGAAATAGCATTCATCAACTTCCTGGTTATGATTGGTTTTCTCTGTATTTCTATGCAGTATGTTTTTAAAAGGCAAATACATATTTTGAATACAATAGAGTTAAATGGGCTTCAGATTTCTTTTTAGTGTTTACACTTAACAATAAATATCTCTGTGTTGGAGACATCAGATAAATTCTGCATCAGATCTTATTTTGTCAAACTATTTGCTACTTTTAACCCCACAAAACACAAACTACAAAAAATAAGGTGCCCATCAACGGCTTTCAACATAATATGTATATTGGTGATGAACTATTGTCTAACTGTTTCACAGTTTGGATTAAATCTGGGTCACTGAAATCCACATTAATTGTCCTATTGGTTTCAATGCATTAATTGCATTTAATTTTTATGCAAGTAAATCAATCAAGATTTGGCCTTTTTTACTAGATTACACTTCACAGGATATTTTCTATAATAAGAAATAAAGTGTTTCAGTCTTATGCACACTTATTAACCCGAGAAGTGGTCATTAAGGTTAATTGCATCCATTTTAAAGCCCTTTTATCATGTCAGAGTGGTGTAACACAAAGGGCATGCCCACACATAAACATTGTAGTCCCTTAATTATCTTTTATAGCAATACAACCCTTTAGTGTGAGGGAGATATATTGATATAAAGGTTCTTATACTAGTTTGCTTATTCTCCTACCAGAAGGAGAGTAGGCTATACTGGTATGAGGCATCTTTATACTGATACAACTGCATGAATACTGTAGGTTGTACCACATAACAATTATGGCAAAGAAATCAAATTCCTCATCAAAATATGTATTCATAAACTGTGTATAAAGATCAGGCCTCAATGTAACTGATATACATGCCCAAATAGTGCAAATTTCTCAGCAATAGATCAGATCCTTATGTGAGGCAAATTGGAATAGCCCTTTTGAATATGTGGCCTAATACATACAATATCATAGTAGCACAGTTTCATCTAATATTACTGTCTCAGAGCCCAATTTTGCAACCATTACTCATACTGAGTAACAGAGTTGCAAAATAAAATCCATAGGATATTGCTTTTTTGCATAATATTCTATTTGATTAAAAAAAACTATGTTACTTGGAAGGAAATAGAATAAGTCAGTAGGTACAAATATTTATGCAAATAGTTTGTTTATTTCTTTGAAGGAAAATATGAAAAAGTACCATGAGATCACAGGTATACATACCTTTCTTATTCATTATAATCACACAGACTATTTCTTCTAACATTCCCAATGTGTTTTACAGCCAGCAAATTTTATCTTCTTAATAAGGAATCAATCCTGTAACTAATTTATGAACTGTTACATGGGGCTATGTTCAGTCTAATTGTCATCCATCTTTAAAGCTTATGTGACAAGCTACTCTGCATTCCATATTAAAAATCCAGTGTGCATTAAGGTCAGTCATGATTTTACAGCTCTGAAATCAACAGCCATCATCCAAAAATATGTAGATGGTTTGCTGTTCAATTTTATTGACTGCAAAGTGCTAGTCAGCAAAAAAGCAAGTTTTAGAGAGCAGGATTCAAACCTTAATTAATTTTCTTCATAAAACCAAGGTAGTTTTGTTCACCAAAACAAAGCATAGTTAATACTCAGAGAAGCAAGAACAGAGATTCCATTACAATCATTAGAAGTCTATTTGTCAAATTTGACTTCTTGTTCAAAATTATTTCATTGTTGAAATAAATTAGTGCATTTTTATTCTGACTAGTTACATGAAAAATTCCATGTCACTCTAGACTTTTATTTTACAAAATTATGCAAAAGTATTCCTCCATCTATATGATATAAATCTGAACATTGTTTTTTATGATTTTCTCTTTTAACATAGAGCTCTTGGGTTTTTTCCCCCAAAATGCTCTTCTTTCATGATCTGCAGTAGCTAGAACTTGTTCTGGTTATATATCTTTGTTGTATTGATTAGGAACTCTTTGGGTAGGGTAAATATAAGCAAGTATTAATTGCTTTGAACAGAGTCAGTGGGATTGATGCAAAGCTGTGATTACCAGTTATACAAGACTACAGTGGGAGCAGATTCACTCCTACAGGTTCAATTTGCACTCTTTTGTGCCTACAGAAATGGCTGATCTTGAGGGATGAATGATTCCAATGGTGGGAGGCAGCTTTAAAAATCAGTCCAGAGCACTATATGATCAGTCCTACTTCCTGGGATGAATCAGAATATCTTCTGGCCTGCGAAGGCAGGACTTACCACTTTGAGAGCTGCACCATTGTGTTCAGGTTCCTGATAAAGTAAAGGTTGCAGGAAAGTTGCATACCCGTGCCCTCCTCTTAGAGGAATTTCTGTCACCAGGCATTCAGGCTCCTGAGTTTTGCGCCATTGAAGTTAGAGATAAGTTTGATCATGTCCCCAGAGAAGCAACAATGTTAACATGGAAAATCAGAAAAGCTTATGTAATGGTATCCTTTCCATCAGGGCTCAAATTGCATCATTATAGTCTGAAATAGAATGAGAAATTTTTACATCTTCATAGTAATACATTCAGAAACTCAGGCAATATGGTATCTCGGACCTGAACCTTCAAGAAGCTTAGTGCCCTCTGCTAGTTTCTGGAGGGCATCTGGGTGTTTTTTATTTCAGTATATCCATAATGCTGTCACTTACATTATCAGACATTTCTCATTGTTTGTGTCCTATTCCTTCTATAATACAGGAACAATTCGCCCTATGCACTTGAATATGAACTAGTACAGCAGTACCGAAACTAGCAAAAAATGAGGGCAATTTTTTTCATTTGCATAAGCGGGGAGCCGCCATTTTTAAAACCCCGCTGGTTCGAACCCCATGCAGCGCGGCTATTTGAACTACCTAGTTCGTGCCGCGTGTAGCCGCGCGGCACAGGGTTCGAACAAGCGGGGATTTAAAAATGGTGGAGCCCCGCTTATGCAAATGAAGCCCGGGAAATTCAAATCCCGGGCTTCATTTGCAAGTGCGGTATGCCTACATTACCCTCCTAGTTTGAACTAGGAGGGTAGTGTAGACATACCCTGAGTGACTTGCATAAAGGGGAACTCCTTATACAAGTCCTCCTACAAATATTGCCCAACCCCTTTACCTTATCTTTTTAATACAAATACTGCCCTCACCTAAAGCAATACAGTGAATGTTCTGGCAATGGAACAAGTTTGTATCTGTAGTTGATGGTGGTAGAAGTTGGGGGTCAACACTGCTCATTGATACCGCATGTGAGACAAAGCACTGAGCATCTAAAGTAGAGTTCGGCAAGTGAAATTGCTACTGTACAAAATTTCCTATATGCAGAGGGGACATGTCAGAGTCATGGTGGTTGTTGCAGCCTTGAAACTGCAGTATCTACTACAATGTGACTTTGCAACAGGGGGCAAAAGTTTCTTTCCCTTTCCAAAGCCTTTTCAGCAACACAAAGGCAAGTCAGAACAGCACGTGGGCTGAGGATCTTGGAATTAATATAACAATTTAGTTACCATAATTGAAGAACACTAGTACATTTTATGGGTCTATCCAGTTTAGAAGATTTGATATTTGTTCATAAGTACATTGAATTACTTTCAGAATTATAATCCAAATAAAGTTAAGGTTAAGAACAATGAAAGAAGTGTTTTGTTTTATTCAGTGGAAAAAATGAATTTGGCCCATGTGAGAGAAGTTTGCTTTCAAGATCAATCAATTATATATAATAATGGAATTGGTTGGTGGGGGTTGCATGTTGTCTTGCTAGTAGTATTCAAAAGGCTTGGAAGAGTTGAATAATACTACCGCAAAGTTATCAAATAATGGCAGGGTAAGAGACTGAAATTTAGAGGTAAAAGCATGAGAGAAAATATTTTGTTGAGATCTAAAAAGTGAATATAAATCAATAAGGCACAGAGTTTCTGGAGGTATTTCCATCTTTTATGCAGGTCACTAATTTTTAGTAGTACCTTTTTCATTATATCAAAACATAAATGTGAACTTTCTTGGTGCATAAATATTTGGTTTTGGGAGTAAGCATTTTGTTAATTTGTTTTAGTGCCTCGTGCCAGAGAAACTAGCTATACCTATTACAAAAATTAGAAACACATATATTACATATGCCATAAAACCTGTCATAAAAACAAAGATCCACGTTACCAAAACTGTTACCAGCAGCATTAGACAAAGTACATAACAGCTCCCTTTAACAAGCCAAACCAAAATAAAAACAGAAGACAATCGCCTGAATGCTAAACAGAAATTTGAGATTGCCTCTTTTTTCTGAAGTTTCTTGTGCTCTTGGAAATCTAAGAATGCCCTGCAATTTGCCATAAGAAATTAGAATCTAAGAATGGTGAGAAATAACATCCCTGCTAATATTTATAGTTTGGGATATGAAATTAGAAAAGGTGCTCATGTAACTATTTCAAATCAACAATGGTCCTGCACCTAAGAGACTATCCAAAAAATATAAAGATAGTTTCATGAGCTTTCATGGACACAACCCACTTCTGTTTGTTATCTGAAGAAGTGAGTTGTGCATAAGGATTTTGATAGTACCGTGAGCTTTCGTGGGTACAACCCAGTTCTGTTTGTCATCTGAAGAAGTGGGTTGTGCCCACAAAAGCTCATTATACTATCTATTTCCCCTAAGAGGCATAAGGATCTTGTGCAAAAAGGGGTTTTTGTGCAAAACAGCCACGACCACATTGCTTGTTTTTGCGCAAAAACCCCTTGAGCAAAAACGGATTGGAAAAGATTATGCAAATGAAGCATGAGAAAATGCTAATCCATGCTTCATTTGCATTGCCTCTTCCAGCAAAATGTGTAGTGTAGACATAGCCTTAGGGT